TCTCTATAGCTTTGGAGCTTGTCTTGGAACTTGGTCTGTAGTTCAGGCTGGCCTTGAACTCACAGAGATCCACCCATCTCTGCCTCCTAAGCACTGGGATTAAAGGTATGAGTCACTACCACCCAGCTCAGAATTTTTCTTTTAACTTAAATGTTAATATAGTACAAATCCTATAAATTCCCTAAAACCTTCTTCGGGATATGGCAGCATTCTGAAACCAAGATACTAACATTTCTCCAGTGAAAGCTATTATTATTTACAGCAAGATCAGTGCACAAACTGCAAACACCCTTAACAAAGCATCGGATCAGAAGTTACCATTTATTAATTAAATAAATAAATTTTAGTAAGAATTTATTTTCAAAGTTCTTTATGTACCAAAATTATGGATAAAGGATTATGGACTTAAACCTGCAAAGAAGATCAGCTTGGTCTAAACAGTAAATTTCACACACCACTAAAAGTCAATTCATTTTCAGTATAGTTCAAGCGTCAGAGACTGTGAGATGACCCAGCAGGAAAAGGCACAGCGTCTAGCCTAACAGAGTTAGATCTCCAAACCCACATAGTAGGAGAGAATCAACTCCTCAAAGTTTTCTTCAGCTCTCCACATGCATATTCATCAAAAAATGAAATGTTAAAAACAACAAAAACTGTTAAGTTTTAAAGTAATTAAGCTGAATGTCTACCTCTACTTCACAAATTTATGTGTACAAAATAATTTTTCATCTTTATTCTATTTAATTTGTATCAAATCTTCAAAATAGTCTCAGTCATTACTTGTAGGGATGAGTGAACACATGTAATTGTATTTTAATTGGGTAAAGAGCCAGCACTAAATGGAAAGATCCTAAGCACTGTGATAAGTATTTTGTGGAACTGGGGCCATAGTCCAGAGGCAGACACTCCCCTAGCATGTGTAAGGCCTTGAGGTCAATACTCAGAACTACCAAAATAAAATTTCTGTACAGTAGTATCTTCATAGAGTTGGCACATACCGGTCCTAGTAGGTGTTTTGGGGCCAGCCAGATGGCTCGGCAGTTACAGGCACTGCTGCCAAGCCTGACAGCTTTAGTTTGATTACCGGAATCCACATGGTGCAAGAAGAGAACTGACTCCTAAAAACTGTTCTCCATACCTGTGCCATGACACACAACACCCCACCCAAAAAACATACAAATCAACAAATAAAATGTAAATTTAAACGTTTTAATACATATTTTGTTTTTAAATCCACTGAAATTGTACATAAATGTTTGATCACCTTTACCCATTCCCAAAAACCTAGGTACTACAGGTCACTATGACTTCATACTCGCTGAAAGAACAAAACTAAATCTCAAAGCACAAAAACCTTAAGAAGACCTTTCTCCAGCACATGAGCTCGTTAACTAAAACACAGCAGGCAAGCAATGTGAGGATCTCCAGTAACACAACACAAATCATTTACCTAAAGGTTCAAACACTACAGAAGAGTATCACTTTAAGGCTCCCTTAAAAATATTTCAACACTAACCTTCAAAAAAGGGTCAGTGGATAAAGGTATTTCCCATCAAGTCTGACAACCCCATGGCCTTAGTTTGGTCCCTAGAACCTACATGGCTGATAATTCTTTCAACTGACTCTCAAGTTGTCCTCTGACCTCCACTCAGGTGCCATGGCAGGGCACATACCCTTAAACATACACAAAATAAATGTTTTGGTTTGTTCTTTAAATTACAGAAGCAAATCTCCCAGAAAACTATTTTTATATAATATCAAGCAGCTCACAATCTGCAACTTCAAAACAGCTGAGTATTTTAGAGCCAAATAAAGCAACTAGCCTCTGCAAAGAAACAAGATAATTCAGTCTGTACACGGATAGAGCATCCTGGAATCCAGCCCTATATAAGCAAAGCAATTGATTAGTACTTATGATGTCAAACTCAAAATGATGATGGCATGCATCTAAAACTCTGTAACAAGAAATTATCTATAACAAAAATTATTTCCCATCTCAAAGAAAACATAAAGCTAGCAAAAATGTGCTAAATGCACACAGAAGTGAAATGAATGTAAAGACATGACCAGGCACTGGGCTAACACTTGACATGCTATCGTATGCCACTTTTTTTTCCTATGAATGCTTTGCCTAGCCTACTGAAAACACTTTACAGAAACTTCTGGTGTATTTCATCATCTCTTGCCATTTTTAGCAGTATAAAACTTCCAATGGTGCTTTCTAAGCTTCTGAATACAGTAACCAAATCCCATGCTGTGTTTGTTATCAGACTATTAAAGATATTTTTTCTAGGCTGGGCAGTGGTGGCGGGACACGCCTTTAGCCCCAGCACTTGGGAGGCGGAATCAGGCATATTTCTGTGAGTTCAAAGACAGCCTTGTCTACTGAGCAATTTCCAGGACACCAAAACTACATAGAGAAACCCTGTCTTAAAAAAGCAAAAACAAATGAAAAATCGACATATTTTCTAGAATAAAACCAAGAGAAATGCGATGTTAAGTAAAGCAATGATTAATTGTGAAATGTAGTGCATAGTACTATTTCAAATACTTAAAATGTTAACAGCTAGTATTTCATGAGCATTTTTAAAAAACAACTTTTTTATAATATTGGTTTAAACACTAATTTACAGGGTTACAATTTGGAGAGATGAAAAGGTTGGGAGGATGAATGCCAATGATTATTGGGACAAAGTACTTAACATCACACTTAAAGATAGTTTAAATAGCAAATTTTATGTATACTAGTAACATATTAAAATGTTACTTTGTCTTAGTCAGGGTTACCATTGCTGTGATGAAACATCATGAGGACAGAAACTTGGGAAGGAAAGGGTTTATTTGGCTTACAATTCCATACTACTATTCATCATTAAAGGAAGTCAGGGCAGGAACCTGGAGGCAGGAGCTGATGCAGAGGCCATGGAAGGTGCTGCTTACTGGCTTGATACCAATGGCTTGTTCAGGTTGCTATCTTATAAAAATCAGGATCACCAGCCCAGGATAGCACCACCCACCATGGGCTGGGTCCCTCCCATCAATCACTAAGTAAGAAAATGCCTTACAACTGGGTTGTATGGTGGCATTTTCTCAGTTGAAGTTCCCTAGTCCCAAGCTGACATAAAACTAGACAGCACATAATCCATTCTAATATCTCATGATAAAATATACATAACAGATATAGTTATTGTAACTTCACCAGTGTTCAACAAAGGCACCAGGAACCTCACTCCATAGGTATAAAGGGCACATTTTGACTTAGTAACATTTGCTGCACTCCAGAATCACACCTGCACTGACTCTTTGACGACATATAACCAACTAAAAGTAGCCAGTAAGCTTGCTGTCAAGTCAGCATCTGGTGTCAACCCTCAATAGTAATATGTCACCTTATTGATATGGGTCTCGACTGTATCAAACACTCAAGGAAGGAACTAAACTGTTCCTGGTCACATGTTAACAATTTAGAAAATATTTTAATAAAACAAATGGTCATGTCACAGGTATAAACAACTCCATTTCAAGCTCAGAATAACCCTAATAACGATGAGTAACATCACTATCAAGAGATAAATATGAAACATTTCTATCTGAGACTGAGGATGAACCTGGCCAATACTTGAGATTTACAGGCACTATTTTTAACTGAACTTTCTGGCCTAGGATCAAAGTTTTGCTAGCAAAATACCAAAGTGAAAATGCTGGCAGTGACGCCCGAGAAGCTTCGCTTTATCTACAGAAAGGCTATGACCCCCATGCAACCAATCCTACGCTGAACTAACGAATTCCAAAACTGTCCCACAAGAACACACGAACCCACTACCAAGCAAAAAAATAAATACACACACACACACACACACACACACACACACACGCCCACAGTCAAAATCTCTACGTTCTACACATCGGATAGAAAGATGCCCACTCTCTAGTCAGTTCCTGCACTGTGGCCAAACACGACTGAGTCACTCACTGCAAACGATTCCAGAAACCTCAAAGGACAACCAACGGCCTAAGAAGAAAAGTTAGTCAGTGGAAAGGGAGGAGGCAGCTCCTCTCATCACAGTCGCTAGGCTTCTGCTAGCAGGGCCCAGAACTGACATGCTTTTTGGCACAGAATGCCTGCACCCACCCTGCGTCTAGCCCTCCAGAGCGTACAGCCAAAGTATCTTTTTCCGACTTCTCCTCCTCAGGATCCATGTTCACACCACTCCCCCGCCCCAATAAATGCATCTCTAGCTGCACACTAATCAAATCTGTTTGCCAAACAGAATTGCTTCCCCCAGGTCCAGAAGTATGCCAGCATTCTACGCGGCGTTTATTGTGAAACGTGTTCTTTTCTTAATCAAGCTCCAGCTATAGCAGCCTTTCCAAGGCTCTTAATTTGGATTTTGAATGCTATGGGAATAGACAAGATGAAGGAGAGAAATTTATTCCACTCTACAATTCAGACTCATTGCTTGGCTTCGGAGCGACAATCTCCGGAAATTTAATTTACATAAATTCAAATGCACTAAATAGCTACTATGGAATGTCCAAGAGCAACTGAAAACAGCAAACTTGAGCTGTGCGGTCCCAGATTCCAGACGAAGAGGACCGAGTGAGGGCAGCTCTTTGTCATGTACCCCAGGTGGTGCTCCCAACAGGGAGAGAGCGAGCGTCGCGTTTCTTTCTCCCTCAATTTCACCCGAGCTCCCACGCCGCGTGACACTTTCAAATTGGTTCCTCTGGGGTAGGAAGCACAGCCAACCCTCCACCTTTCCGCCCCAAGCCGACTGGGTAGGCGGGAAGGAGCCCAGGGGTGTTTCCTCCCAGCGCAGTCCAAGACAGAGGGCGGCCGAGATGACACTCTCCCCGGCGGGAGGTGGACCCGAGGAATCCCAGGTGGGGTCTCCACTCCGGAACCCGAGGCTCCAGCCCCCCGGGTAGCCGGAAGCTGGGCGGGTAAGCCAAGGGAGGACCAGGCAGGACCGGGAGCACCCTCCCAAGCCGGCACCTACCAGCAAGCTCTCCACGTTGATGGGCGAGCGAGGGTCTCGGATGAGCGCCTCCAGCTTCCTCTGGCGGCTCGCGCCCGCCCCGTCCCCAGGCGCGGCCTCGGGGGCGCCGGGCATTTTCCCCGTCGGCGGGGGCCGGCTCATGCCGCTTCACCGGGCCTAGCGCCGCCCGCGGAACCTTCGCCCGGGCCCGCCGCGCGCCGCTGTCTGAGGAGCCGCCCGGCCCGGCCGGGAGCAGAGAGGCACACGACGTCCCCGCCCCTCAGCCGCACGCGCGCCGCCCGGCCCGTAGCGAGCTCGCCAGGACCCGGCGGGCGGGAGCGGGGAAGGGGCGCCCGCGCCGCGCCGCGCCGCCCCGCCCACGGGGCTCGGGCCGCTAGGGTCGCCCCCCCGGCCGCCCGCATGTCGCCGCCGGCCGCCTCGCGCGCCCACCAGCCCGCTCCGCCTCACACACAGCCCGCGCCGCGGCCCTCCTCGGCCGCGCGCCGCCGCTACCCACAAGCCCCTCCGCCCGCGGCCGGTTGCGCGCGCCCACCCCGGCGCGTCCCCGCGGATCGCCCCGCCCCCTGGTCTCCGGCCCCGCCCCTCCACCGAGCTTTCGCTGCACAGCTTCCTTTCCGCTCCCCCCAGCCCGCCCGCCCGCCCCGGACGGTCCTGCTTCCTCGTCTGGCCGGTTCCCGGGGCAGTGAGGCGGGACGGGTCGCGGCGGGGTCCCCCGTAGGCCCCGCGGCGTAGCCCCGCGTCGCCGGCCGGACCCCGCGGCCTAGCTGACGTGCTCGCCCCCCCGCCCGCCGGGTCCCGCTGACTCAGCGCGCAGCTATGCGAGCCGCGCCGAACTCCAGCGCCCCTGGGTCAGCGCCCTTCCCGGGCCTGCGCGCCCGGGGCCGTGGCCTGGGGCTTCAGGGGGCGGGGAGGCCGCGCCCCTAGCTTGCGCTCACTGTCTGGGACTTGCTCGAATCTTAGTCCCGTGGCAGGGAGGCCTGGAGGAAGAATTGCTCCCGCCTCCGGGCCACGAATCCTGGGTTCTCCGAAACCTTTGTGCCCTTCCCTGACTGCCGTGTCCGCCTGGCGTTAGCCGTTAGACCCTGGCCAGGCGGAGTGAACGAGAGGGTAAATAGGGAAGCGCTTCTGCATTCACGGGGGCCTTGCTTTGGGCGTGGTAGAGGGGCTGCTTCTCCGCATTCCTGCCCTCTCGCTACCCCTGAGCCATTGGTCAGATCCTCTCCGGGCGCAATCTGAAAACTATGTGCCAAGAGCTATAAAACTGTTCACAGAGCCCCTTTGACCCAGTAAGCCCATTTAAGGAAGTCCAAGTGTAAGGAAATGATCCAAAGAGGGGAGGACTTTGCATGAAGATGTTTACAGCTGGGCTATTCAGAATGTTCGTAATGACCAAAGCCCTGGGAGTGGACTCAATCCTGCTGCAACTGAAGAATCCAAACAAGCTCTGCCACAGTCTGGGAAGAATCCTGACGGGATTACAGGCCGGTTAAAGAATGAGGGAAAATGTACCGGAAGTGAAAAGTGCGGAGGGAATTGTGAACACTCTGAAAACAACGGCTAGACAAATGAAAATACCCGTGTTTCTAAGTGAGTGGGATTTTCCCCCTCTTCTGAAGATGCTAAGGAGGATGGTGGTGGTGCACGCCTTCAATCCCAGGCCTGAGAGGCAGAGGCAGGTGGATCTCTGAGTTCGAAGCCAGCCTGGTCTACAGAATGAATTCCAGGACAACCAGAGCTACACAGAGAAGCCTTGTCTCGAAAACACCAACAAAAAGATGTTAAGCCTATTGAATTTCAAAACTTGAAAAACTAGACTTACTGATGGGTCACTCTAAGAAGCTACAGTATAATGCTCCTAAATAGTAAGACTGTAAGGCTTGTGTGGGTGTCAAGCGATATTCACGGGTTCCAAAGCCCTGGCTTTGTCAAAACCCCCGATTCACCCAGCACGGTTCCAGGAACATCTTCCTTTCTACATGAAGTCACTCTGACTTGGACTAAGGCAGGAAGAGGCCCTGGGTGACTCAAGAGGGCCATTTCTATTGCAGATAAAAGAACTGCCCTCTGGTCAAAAAGTAGAACTTCAAGCCTGTGCGTGAATCTACTCCTTCATACCGCCACAGACCCAAAACAGGAGGGTAGAGCCAGCTAGCCACTTCTCCCACTAATGCACTGGAGCAAAATAATTAGGTATTCATGATTACAGATCTTACAGGTCCTTTTCCTGGTGATAGTAGAGTAATAGGTTTTCAAAAGGAACACTGATCTTTAGGTTACAAATTAATTTTGAAATGACTGGCTATATGTTTTTATGGACTTTGGTGGAGTAGCCATGGACTTCAGTCTTAGGAACCTTGTTTTAAAAGAACAGTAGTACCCAGGCGTGTTGGTGCATATCTGTAATCACAACACTCAGGAGGCCAGGACTACAGGAGACTCTTATCTTAAAAAAAAAAAGAAAGAAAGAAAGAAAGAAAGAAAGAAAGAAAGAAAGAAAGAAAAAAGAAACACTAATAGGAAGCTGAGGCATTGGCTGGATCCATAAAGTGCTTGCAAGAATGAGGACCTGAGTTCAATCCCCGGCAACATCTGCTACAAACCCAGAGTCTTAGTTCTGGGGAGGCAGACACAGCAAGATAGATCCCTGAGGCTTGCTGACCAGCCAGCCTAACCGAATTGAGGGGCTCCAGGTTCAGTGAGAGACCCTATCTCAAGTACATAAAATATAAAGCAATTAAGAAAGACACAGCAGCCGGGCATTGGTGGCGCACGCCTTTAATCCCAGCACTCGGGAGGCAGAGGCAGGCGGATCTCTGTGAATTCGAGGCCAGCCTGGTCTACAGAGTGAGTTCCAGGACAGCCTCCAAAGCCACAGAGAAACCTTGTCTCGAAAAAAAAAAAAAAAAGAAAAACACACAGCATCAATCTGACCAGCAGCACACACACGTGTATGTGTATACGCACAAAACACAAGAAACACAAATAAAAGGAACTGTAGTGAACAACAAGATCACTACCTAATGGCTATTTATGGATAGCCATTAGATACAGAAGACTTGGGTCTATTGTGATGACTCAGCAGGTAAAGATGCTTACCATGCAAGCCTAGTGATTTGAGTGCCATCTCAGGAACCCACTTAAAGATGGAAGGGAGAGCCAACTCCACAAAGTTGTCCTCTGACCTCCACACATGCACCCACACACAGATACCATGCACAGATACACACAATAATAAATAATTAATTTGAAGGTATTTATATAAGACCCACACATTGCCTACCTGGAAGAAAAGACCTCTCTCTTGATAAGTATTAAACCACCCTCTATCAGTCTCTCCTCTAATTAATTTTTGGTCAGTGCGACCATTCTTATTTACAAAAGGAATGTATACATGAATTCTAGTTAAAAGTTCAAACAAGCCAGAAATATATAGAATATTGCCCAAAATTTTGTCTCTTACTGTTTACTCTCATACTCCCTTAAATTTTTAGTTATTTGTTTTTAGACAGATTGTCACTTAGGAACCCAGGCTGCCAAGGAACTTACTTTGTAGTGCAGGATAGCCTCTAACTCGTGGCCATTCCCTACCTAACATCTACCACCCAGGAGTCCCTACCATATCTCTAATTAAGGGTCCAGGTATCCCTTTTTTTTAATCTCTTGGAAAACCATGTCCTCATTTTTAGTTGTTTTCTTTTTATTTAAAAGGTTGATACAATATATTTTGATTGTGTTTTTCCTTTCCCCTCATTTCTAGTTTTTAACTTGAAGGTCTGTCTCTTCCCCAGGAATGAATAAATCCTCCTGTTTCAGCCTCCCAAGTGCTGAGATTACAGATGTGAACCACCATTCACGGGAATTATTTTATCACTCAAGGTTGTTATACATTCTCATAGATAATTATTTGGATATATATGAACATATATATGTACCCTTCGTGTACACAGAATGGTACCATATCATAGTATTTTGCAACTTTATAATCCATCCCCCATTATTGTGTCCTGGGAAATGCTCACATATGTAGACAGAGAAATCTTCATTTTCTGACTGCTGTACGCTATTCTGCAATATGAGAATGCCATAGATTCAATAACATAACACTTGAGGACAGGCCATGGGGGACAACTGCCCGAGCTACCTGCCACTACTATATGCCACCTGTGTAATCCTGAGTAAGTTACCTAACTTCTCTGTTTCTCAGTGTCCTGGGTGCCAGCCTTAAATAAATGTTTTCATGTTGTCATTGACATTCTTCCACTTTTGCCTTTGTGTGGAGATACATGTGAATAAGATTAATTCCTAAAAGCAGATTATTTAACAGTGTCTTTTAAAGTCACAGCTACTGTAAAAGGCTATACTGGCCCTTAAAAAGGCTGTGGGTTGGCAGCTGGGCAGTGGTGGCTCACACTTTTAATCCCAGCACTCGGAAGGCAGAGACAGACAGATCTCTGAGTTTGAGGCCAGCCTGGTCTACAGATCGAGTTCAGGACAACCAAGGCTGTTACACAAAGAAAAGAAACCCTGTCTCAAAAAAAAAAAAAAAAAAAGGCTATGGACTGGCAAGGAGCTGAGCAGGTAAAAGAGTCTGCCTTGAAAGGCTGCCTACCTGAATCTGATCCCAAAAACCAAGTCTACAGAACTGTCCAATCAGTTCACATTGCTGCCCGTCCTTTCCGTTTTGCCAATATAAAGTATTGAGCTCTTTTTAATTTTGCAATGAAGTGACCAACAGTAACATGGTTTCATTTTGCATTCTCTTACTTGCTACTGGGCATGCATACTTTGGATGCCCACTTCTCAAGTAGTCTGTTTCCATCCTTCGTCAGCTTGTCTCTTTTCTCCTGGTTTGGAGGAGTTTCTGGACATTGAGAATACACCTCCCTGTTACAATATATCCTTAAAATACACTATATTTTATGAAGCTTTTCTTCCAGTCCATTGTTTTCCTCTCAGGCTTGGGTATCTTTTGTTTTGGTTTGGTTTTTGGTTTTTCGAGACAGGGTTTCTCTGTATTGCTTTGCAGGTTTGTCCTGGCACTCACTCTGTAGACTAGGCTGGCAGGACTCTCAGAGATCCGCCTGCCTCTGCCTCCCAAGTGCTGGGATTAAAGGCGTGCGCCACTAACACCAAACCTGGTTTGGTTTGGGTATCCTTTGTCATACAATTCTATTTTTCTTACAGTCAAATCTGTGAATACTTTTCTTCACAGCTTCAGGATTTTATGTCTGGGCTGGGGATTTCAGATCCAGGTTTTAGCTCACACAGAAGAGTAGA